TTTTGGTATCAGGGATTGAACCCAGGTGAGCTGATGCCCCAGCCCTTTTTTTATTTTTTTTTTATTTTATTTTTTAGTTGTAATTGGACACAACACCTTTATTTTACTTATTTTTTTAATGTGGTGCTGAGGATGGAACCCAGGGTCTCATACGTGCCAGGTGAGCGCTCTACCACTGAGCCACAACCCCAGCCCTATATTTTTATTTAGAGACAGGGTCTCAATGAATTGTTAAATGCCTCACTAATCTGCTAAGGCTGGCTTTGAATTCGAAATCCTCCTTTCAGTCTCCCGGAGCCACTGGGATTACAGATGTGCCACTGTACCTTCTTTCTTTTACTGGACACTTGATCACCAGTCATTTGCTAATTCAAAGGTTGGGCTTCATTTACATTTTCTCCTTAGCATTCCTAGATAGAAGTGCAATTTCTGGTGTCTTCATTTTAAAACAGAAGTAATACTCCAAAATAAAGTCTGCAACTTTCTCTGCTATAGCAAGCACAGTAAAGTTAGAATAATCCACACTACTGAAGCAGGAGAACAATAATCACTAAAAATTGGATAATGCAAACATCCGTCATAAATGGCTACAACTTCTAAATGGACTATGCTCTCTCTGATTTTGAACTTTTGTTCCCTCTGCCTGTAATACCCTTTCCTACCCTCCCCCTCACATTTGGGACTCTGGATGTCAACTTTTATCTAGACCGCCTTCTCCAATAGCTTCCAAAGCTAAATTAAGGCCCCTCCTCTCTTCTCCCACTGCATTCTCTGCTAACTCATATATTAATACTTAACACACTGTCTGTGTTACCTGTCTCTCCATCTAGATAATAAACATCTTGAGGCCAAGGTCAGGATCTCATGCATTTGTATATCCTTAGTGTCTAAGACATATTGAACAATCAATAATGATTTGTTGAATGTATACAAACTTTTCTTTTAAAGAGAGAGTGAGAGAGGAGAGAGAGAGAGACAGAGAGACAGAGAGAGAATTTTTTAATATTTATTTTTTAGTTATCAGCGGACACAGCATCTTTGTTGGTATGTGGTGCTGAGGATCGAACCCGGGCCGCACGCATGCCAGGCGAGCACGCTACCGCTTGAGCCACATCCCCAGCTCCAAATGTATACAAACTTGACCAAGAAAACCTTCAGTAATCTTTAACATATTTTCCCTAATAAATCAACTGAACTCAGGCTAATATTAAAGTTACTGGCACCCAATCCCATCCCCAGCTGATAGCAGAAGCAAAGAATTTACTCTACATGGTAACGAACATAGAGGTTTAAAAAAAAAAAATAGAAGTGTGTGCTACCCGAAATCATCTCAAGAGGAGTCATCATTTCCACTGCTCTTCTTTGAAGACAGCAGTCTATGCTTCTCAAACCACCAGCTGTGCACTGGCACACAGGAGGGAAGCAGGGGTGATGAACCTCTAGATTGTTTTGTTCACCTCTTTCCCACCAATACTGCATTTCACTCTTCGCTTTTTACCCATCCTCACTTTCTATACTTTGTATTTGCATTCGGTTTTCATTTTTCCCCTTTTTAAACTTTCCTCTGCCATCTCTTCCACATACTGTATTTCAGGCAGAGATACCACAGAGTATCCAAGGGCATTGCTTTGTCTAATAGGGAGAACTCAGGCCAAGGATGTTGCTGTATCTTTGGGTTACTTCTGCAAACTACACCAATAAACTTCTTATGTTTCTCAGGCAACCAAAGAGTGACCTCCTGACAGCAGAACAAGGAAACCAGCACATGACACCAAATTGTTACTATCTGCAAAGTGGGTAAGATAAGTTTCTAGGCTATAGTAGCCTATAATATAATAGAGAAAAGGCTCTCTCAATTTAATATTATTTAAATAAGAGAGCTCTGAAGGAGAAAAAAATTAAACCATGTTTTTAAAAAACAATGCTACATGTTTATAGAGCAATTTTAAATAGCTATAGTATACTTTGCTGGGACAAGTAGGTTAAAGAAAAGAAATATGGTCCCTACAACCAGGGAATTTGGGAGTCTCATTGAGTAATCACTCTCCCTCCTTCACAAACTCATAAATGTAAGCACTAGAGATCCAGAAGAGAAGAAATTATCTTAAAACAAGAGTCAGGAGCCTAAGGTAATTGGAATGGATGTTCTAGGACATAAAAACAAAGACTGATTTGGGAGGCTTTTTGAATTTAAAGTTATCCAAGTTTCAAAACTGTGACACAGCTGGGCACAGTGGCACACACCAATAATTCCAACAACTCAGGAGACTGAGGCAAGAGGATTTCAAGTTTGAGGCCTGCTGCAGCAATTGAGGTCCTAAACAACTTAGCAAGACCCAGTTTCAAAATAAAAATAAAAAGGAAATGTGGCTCAGTGGTTAAGCACCCTGGGTTTAATCCCCAATACCAAAATAAAAAATAAAATAAAGTCTATGCCACAGACATCAGAAGTCAAGAAAATGATAATCTATAAGTAGTAGTCAAAAAATCTAACTCATGCTGTATATATATATAGGTGACTCTATGACCAGTGTGATTCTGCAATCTGTACAATCAGAAAAATGAGAATTTATACCCCAATTGATTCAAATGTATGAATTGCCAAGATCATTGTAATGTCATGGCAGCTAATTAAAAAAAAAAAAAAAAAAAAAAAAAGAAATCTAACTCAGGTCCCAATAAGCTGTATAACCTTCAACAAATTATTTCACTCTTCTAATCCAAAGATGGCTCATCAGTAAAATGGGTACAATAACAACTTACTGGCAAAGTTGTCTGTGATACTTACACAAATAATATAAAATCATTTTTAAAAGTTTTATGTATATAACATGCCAACATAATGTAAGAGGAAAAAAAATTGTTCCTCTGAATGGAAGATAAATCCTGTGGTTCAATTTCCAAAGTCTAAACCTGGCTCACCTTCCCAGTCATATTAAACCCCTTAACCAACCTGTGGTCATTTGAGTGAGAAGAGTCCTGTATGAGATTCCAGGGTTGGGGCGGTGACTATTCAATCCATTGTTCCATATCTCAGTAGCTTCATCCATAAAATGGGTAATGTGGAATTCAAAAGTTAATCCAGATCTGAGTAAGGGAGTACAGAATTTTCCAAAAGTGAGTAAAACATTTACACAACCCTACCCACCATCACTCGGAGATAATGTCATTAAATAGTATCACTCCCAGAACAGAATTTAAAAATGGCTTAGTGATCATTTAATCTTTTGTTTTACAGTGGAAAAAACTGAGACCCAGATATATAAATTGTAGAAGTCTCACAGCTAGTCAGTCACAGAATGGGGCTAGGGCATAGAACCTTGGATTCCAAAATCCAGAGCCCACTTTGACAAATTACAGCATCTCCAGGGCAGCTGGAGAGCCTACAGGACACATCACTCTAGGATTTCATCAATAGTAAAATGTGGGGCCACTGAAAGATGGGATACAGGATTCTTGGGGAGATTAAGAGCTAAGGAAGATGAGAAAGGGAATACTTCACTGAGGAGTACAATTAGTCCTAGCGGTAATCAGATAAGAAGAAATCAAGGAAATATTTCAGGCAGAAAAGAATTAAAACAGGCAATCTTGGGGAAAAAAAAAAAATTTTTTTACCTGATGGGTAAAAATTTCTTTAGGGAAGATAAAAAAAGTAAATTTGGAGGACCATAATGCGTTCAATCAGGATACTCCATGACCATATGCAATTTAGTCCTTTTGTCTCCTGTTTTCTAATATTTTTTGTCGGTGTATTTGGAGAGCACACCCGGATTTGAACCATTACTAGTATCTTTTTTTTTTTTTTTTTTAATTAGGAATTGAATCCAGGGGTGCTTAACCACTTGAGCCACATCCCCAGCCCTTTTATTTTCTGAGTCAGGATATTGCTAAATTGCTAAGGCTGTCCTTAAATTTGCAATCCTCCTGCCTCAGTCCCAAGTGGCTAGGATTATAGGTGTGTACACCATGACAAGCCATTACTAGTATTTTTTTTTTAAGATAGAGAGAGGAGAGAGAGAGAGAGAATGAGAGAGAATTTTTTTTTAATATTTATTTTTTTAGTTTTCGGCGGGCACAACATCTTTGTTTGTATGTGGTGCTGAGGATCGAACCCGGGCCGCACGCATGCCAGGCGAGCACGCTACCGCTTGAGCCACATCCCCAGCCCAGTATTTTTAATTCTTTAATCTACTCTGTCTCCCTAAAAGGAACTCTAGAGACCACATCTACCTTATGGTTAAGTATATCATCTGTGGACTCAGATTGCCTACATTCATATCCATACTTTACTACTTTATCTGAACTTGGACAAACTCCTTCACCTCTCAGTACCTCTGTAAAATGGAAATAATATCACCACCCATTTCATGAGCTTATATGAGGATTAAATGTGTATTCCAGTCACAACCTACTAATAGGTTTTGAATCATTTTAGTTATAACAACCCCTTTTATGTTTGAATATAAATAAATGAACAGAAATTGGAACCACAATACATTGCATGTAGTAATAAGTAGTGTTTTGCAAAAAAATCTGTTATATAAAATGGGTACAGTGGCACACACCTATCATCCCAGCAACTAGGATGGCTGAGGCAGGATTCCAAGTTCAAAGCCAACCTCAGCAACTTAGTAATTTAGTGAAACCCTGTCTCAAAATTAAAAAAATAAAATAAAATAAAAGGTGATGTTGCTCAATGGTAAAGCATCCTCAGTTAAATTCCCAATGTGAAAAAAAAAAGAACTGATATGTGATATATGTGTGTACATCTGAATTACAATGTAAAATCGGTTTCTTCTAATATTTTACTTTTAATAATGTTAAGAGCCACTGAGTTAAAACATAGAATAGGCTTAGAACAGGGCCTAGCATACAACTAAGTACTTAATGACTTAATGCTATTATTATTACAGTATGTACCTATCAAAGTTATTTGCAGAGTTATATAAAACAATATGAAAACTTTTGGAAAATTTGATACACACGTTAATGTAAGTTAAAAGCAAAAATCCCTCTCCATCTGTAATAGCCATGTAGTCCTCGTTTAGGCATGTTTTTTGTTACCTGGACCCCCCCTAAACATGTGTTACACTGAGGTGTCCACAGACTATGATTTATCTAACACTATGTCAGGGTTTGTCAATATTTGTAGAGTAATGGAGGCTTGGTGCCAGAGTAAAATAACTCATTTTTACAGAGCTGGGGATAAGGGGTAGTGAAGAAGGAGTCAAGCATAAGTAGCTGAAGGAATCAGGTGAGTCTCTCAAAGAATTGTTCACTCCCCTAGAGCTAGGTAACTCAAATGTGCCACTGAGGAGGCCAGACTAAGACACCTGGGCCTTGGAAAAGGTCTGAATCACTTCCATCTCTTTCTCCTTATCCAGTTACCTCACAGAACAGCATTTAAGCCCAGACAGGGCTCAAATGTGTGTGTCACATCAAGAGAAAATGGAAATCCCCAAGGAGATACAAATGGGCTGACTACACAACAAAGGATTATGTAACCTTCAAAGTCAGCACATTTACACGTTAAAAACAATTTAAATTCTAAGCAGATAGGGAGGCTGAGGCAGGAGGATCACAGGTTCAAAACCAGCCTCAGCAACTTAGCAAAGCTGTAAGCAACCTAATAAGACACTGTTTTAAAATAAAAAAATAAAAAGGGTGAGGGCTAGGAATGTGGCTCAATGGTTAAGCACCTTTGGTAGCTTTTTTGATACCAAAAAAAAAAAAGAATTTACTTCAAAAACCTTGATTTATAGAAAAACTGGAAAATGTGCTCACCAGTAAGGAAATCAGAAGGTCTGGATTCCATCCCGGACAATGTATGACCTTGAATGGCTCACTTCATTTCTCTGGGCTTAAGTGTCTTCCTCTGCTTAAAAAAAAAAGAGAAAGAGAAGGGGATAACTACCTCGTAGAGCGTGGTGAAAATTAAGATAGTATGCAATAAAAAGCCTACCATAAGATCTGTCCCTTCTAGACCATAAAAGACAATACAAATTATAATAAGCTGGGGGTCACTGACCAACTGCCTGTGAAAATGCCTATAGAGTATGCCTGCATATTTGTATTATTTTAAAAATTATATTTTGGTCTTCCCAGCACAACACCCTGTACTAGGAGATCTGGGAAAGCAGTATTTTCCCATCTCATTCCTTAAAGCAGTGATTTCTAAGTGTTTTGGTACAGGGGCGGGGGGACACTTCAAATTTCCCCTTGGTACTGCCCATACATTATGAAAATCTAAAAAAAAAAAAAAGGCCGAGATGATCGACACCATGCCTACATTTTACTATTATTCACATTCTCCTTTCAAATTAAAGGAGGGAGGATTAAACTTCTTCCGCCACGTTTCGGACCAGCCTACAGGAAGGATCTTAAGGACTCGCGTGGCAGGGAAGTCCCAGTAAACAGGAGGCGGCACGTTCTAGAGCTTTCGGGCGACCCCAATTTCTCCTGAGCGACGAATCCAGGCCACGTGTCGCCATTTTGTGTTCAGGAAACATGGCGGGCAAGGGGGGGGGGGCGACGATGGGGAGCGCCACGTTAGCCCACTTTCACTGAGGGACTAAGTATGCTTTGCTCACTTGACATTCTCGAGTCTAGCTTAGCTCAAGGAGAAAGGGAAGGGGCAGAAATCACAACTCATGTGCCAGCATCTCAGCGACATTTTCTAGCGAGATGAACTAGACAGAAAAGGCCTCCCAAGATGGCGGGCGTCACCAGGGGCCGCCAGAGAGTGGGGCGCTGCGGCTGCGCTGTGAGGGAAGAGGGCCGAAAAGCGAGAACCGGGGAGGCCGCGCGGGAAATGCCGCAGAAACCTCCAACTCTGGTCGGCACCGCTCGAATTTAAATAGGCCTCCAGAGACGCACACTATTGTTTCAAATAGCGGACAAGACACTGCCACGGTAGAAAGGACCGAATAGCTAGGTTGGGTTTCTGCGGGTTTCAACAGAAAGAAACCAGCAAGATGCAAACAAAGCATTATGTAAATGGACGCCATTCTTTTCATGGCTGTTACGAGCACTTCACAAACACAAAGGCGCGACTGCGCTGGCCCGCGGTAGGGGCTCGGGTTTCGATCTTTCTGCTCACCGGCCACCTCCGGGGGGCCGGGGCAAGAGTGGGGGCTGGCGCAGGGCGCCCGGACGCCGGGGACGAAAGGGCCCCACGTGCCCGCTCGCGCGCGCACCGCCCCACAGGCCGCACCTCGCCGCCCCTCCCCCCCGGAAGACGGAGGCTGCCCCTCCCGTCCTCCCCACACCCTCGCGCATGCGGTCTGGTTACCTCACGCGCACGTTTTAAACCCGCGGCGTCCCAGCTGCCGCCTGCACTGATCGCCGGGGCTGTCCTTGTCACTCTGCGCATAAATCCCTTTGGTATATCAGGAAAATTATATGTGTCTCCCAAAAACAACATTAATATTTTCAGCCACCTGCCAGTGCTGTTGGAGTTAATAAAACACGTGTTCACTTTAAAACCCTGCCGGACTCACACCTTCCGCCCATCAAATGCATTCTTTTCACTACTCCGGTATTGAGAGGATTTTTTTTAAGTACCGCGTGGAGGTTGGCGCAATCTTGTGACCTAAAAAAACGGGTCCTCATTTTTTTCAAGGGGTCCTGCGCAGCAAGCACTTCCGGGGTCAGAGGGTACGCGGGGTTGAAAGCGGGCTTCCCGCCCCGCCCAGACCGCCGAGGCTGCCGCCGGAGTCGCCACCGCCGCGCCCTCGCCCACCCGCCCGCCCGCCGCTCCCGGCCCCGCTCGCCCCCTCCGCCGCCGCCGCCCGCCCCTGCGACGACGCCGCGGCCTCCCGCCCGCTCCTGCTCGCTCCCACGGCCCTCGCTCGCCTCGCGCCGGCAGTTTTGGGCCTACACCTCCCCTCCCCCCGCCAGCCACCAAAGACTTGACCACGTAACGAGCCCAACTCCCCCGAACGCCGCCCGCCGCTCGCCATGGATGCCGGTGTGACTGAAAGTGGACTAAATGTGACTCTCACCATTCGGCTTCTTATGCACGGAAAGGAAGTAGGAAGCATCATTGGGAAGAAAGGGGAGTCGGTTAAGAGGATCCGCGAGGAGAGTGGCGCGCGGATCAACATCTCGGAGGGGAATTGTCCGGAGAGAATCATCACTCTGACCGGCCCCACCAATGCCATCTTTAAGGCCTTCGCAATGATCATCGACAAGCTGGAGGAAGATATCAACAGCTCCATGACCAACAGCACGGCGGCTAGCAGGCCCCCGGTCACCCTGAGGCTGGTGGTGCCGGCCACCCAGTGCGGCTCCCTGATTGGGAAAGGCGGCTGTAAGATCAAAGAGATCCGCGAGAGTACCGGGGCCCAGGTCCAGGTGGCGGGGGATATGCTGCCCAACTCCACCGAGCGGGCAATCACTATCGCTGGCGTGCCGCAGTCTGTCACCGAGTGTGTCAAGCAGATCTGCCTGGTCATGCTGGAGACGCTCTCCCAGTCTCCGCAAGGGAGAGTCATGACCATTCCGTACCAGCCCATGCCGGCCAGCTCTCCGGTTATCTGCGCTGGCGGCCAAGATCGGTGCAGCGACGCTGCGGGCTACCCTCACGCCACCCATGACCTGGAGGGACCACCTCTAGATGCCTACTCGATTCAAGGACAACACACCATTTCTCCGCTCGATCTGGCCAAGCTGAACCAGGTGGCAAGACAACAGTCTCACTTTGCCATGATGCACGGCGGGACCGGATTCGCCGGAATTGACTCCAGCTCTCCAGAGGTGAAAGGCTATTGGGCAAGTTTGGATGCATCTACTCAAACCACCCATGAACTCACCATTCCAAATAACTTAATTGGCTGCATAATCGGGCGCCAAGGCGCCAACATCAATGAGATCCGCCAGATGTCCGGGGCCCAGATCAAAATTGCCAACCCAGTGGAAGGCTCTTCTGGTAGGCAGGTTACTATCACTGGCTCTGCTGCCAGTATTAGTCTGGCCCAATATCTAATCAATGCCAGGCTTTCCTCTGAGAAGGGCATGGGTTGCAGCTAGAACAGTGTAGGATCACTCATAACCCCCTTCTGCTGTTTTCCCATGATCCAACTGTGTAATTTCTGGTCAGTGATTCCAGGTTTTAAATAATTTGTAAGTGTTCAGTTTCTACACTTTATCATCCGCTAAGAATTTAAAAATCACATTCTCTGTTCAGCTGTTAATGCTGGAATCCATATTTAGTTTTATAAGCTTTTCCCTGTTTTTAGTTTTGTTTTGGGTTTTTTGGCTCATGGATTTTATTTCTGTTTGTCGATAAGAAATGTAAGAGTGGAATGTTAATAAATTTCAGTTTAGTTCTGTAATGTCAAGAATTTAAGAATTAAAAAGGATTGGTTAAAAAATGCTTCATATTTGAAAAAGCTGGGAATTGCTATCTTAAACTCTTTGTTGGTGCTTTTTTTTCTCCCCTTTTAGCATTAGGTGTTTGGAGGGCAGAGGGCCCCGCCCTCAGTATTCTTTCAAGCTCTTCTCACCTTATCGGTAAGATTCCATTCCCCCTGCCTCAACAAAGGAGCACAGCAGGCTGGGCCTGCTTTGGGTATTTACAGAGATGGAGGGGCTCTTTCCTGAATGACATCCCTCCAACTAAGTTCCAGAGAGTGGCCTCTGCCCATTTCCCTGATAGAAAACATAAGGTTTTCTGAGGTGGAAAAAGTGCCCATTCAGTAGGACCTGATGAATGGAGAGCATCCTCTCCATCTAACCAGCCCCCTCTACCCCCATCCCATATGAAAAACTTAGCCAGGAACAATAAAATATTCTGAGGTGGGAGGAGCCTGGGGTGGAGAAGGGTTGGGGGAGGGGCATGGGTGGGAGGAGGGCAACAGCTGCGTCGTGGTTGTGGGGATGGAGGGGTCTATCAGCTGGACAGCTGGGGGAAAGGGGTCAAAGGAAGAGCTAGGCAGACAGTACCTTGCACGTGGCCTACATGCACCTGTGGCAAGCCTGTCTGAGGATGTTGTTACACCTGTCAAGTGAGGTGTCCAGAAACAAAAGAGGCCCAGTTCCCAGTTTTTCAGCTGCGTGCAATGTTCAGAGAATCACCGTACCAGGAAGTAATCCTGCCTAAAGGAGGCGAGATTTCTTAAATTCTTACTGACAAGAATTTTGACTTACCCATTGATCACAGCCTAAAGATGATCAGGGTGTTAATACAAATTCCTGGATCCTACCCCAAATAACCAGAGAAATGCATTTTTAACACCCCAAAAGTGTCTGGGTTGAGTATCACTTTCTCTTTGGCAGATGGGGGGAATTCTGTGGTGAAGGCCTAGATGTCCCATGTCCACATCAGCTAATGGGGCTAGGATGGACCTAATGAAAGAAAAATTATCAATAAGGCAATGGCAACAAGATAATTAGGTACCAAAGTAGGTAATGCAAACCCTAGGCACTATATGAAATCACTACTAGCAAAGAGAAATTCCTGTGGAAGGGGAGTATTACCCACAATATTTGTTGAAGCTTCTCTATAGGACATGTTTTTCCTGAGGTGTAGGCCTGGTTTTGAGAGTCCCTAGAGGTAAGATTGCCATATACTTCACATCCACTGTAGAGGCCGGTCAGGCAGTTGCTGAAAGGAGCCCATATTAGTTAAGCCTGCTTTCATAATTAATTCTGCCACTTGCTGGCTTTGGGAAAATTAATTTATAATCTTTACAAAATGAAAGTGTTAAAAGTATACACCTCCTAGGCTTAAGAAAGTAAAAAGAATGTTAGGGAAAGCAAGATGTTGTTTAAGGCAGGCGCAGTGGCTCATGCCTGTAATCCCAACAGCTCAGGAGACTGAGGCAGGAGGATCAAAGCCAGCCTCAGAAACTTAGTGAGGGCCTGTCTCGATAATACAGAAAAAGTGATGGGAATGTGGTTAAATGACCATGAGTTCAATTCCAAATATATATATATATAGTCTAGAACATGTTTGTTTTTTTTTTAAAAAAAAGGCCTATTTTGGGAGGTAGGAGTTTTCTAGAATATCTGAGAAGAGATGACAACTAATTAAAAGGTAAGAAACTAGTATTAAATGTTGAGCTAGAGGAGCTTGTCGGAGAGGCCAAGACACATTGGGGAGTGGGGAATAGTGAAGACCTGGAAGCCTGTTCATTACCTTCTGGAAACAATGAGCACTAATCAGGGCAAGTATGTAATGAACTCAAACCCAGAGACACCATGCCTATAGTCTCTGAAACTTGCTAGGCGAAGTAATTTGAATATACCTCATGGAAAATTAGAGCTCAACCTTTCCTAACCCTCCTCCCCACTATACATGCCCTTTATTGGGACAAAGCTGGCGATAATTTGTAAAAAATAACTTGGACAATAAGGCATGTGATTAATTATACCTTGAAGAGACAAAGGGCAGGAACAGCAGTTAGAAAACTACCTCAAACAGGTTCTAAGTCAGACTGGAAAGTGGTATCAATAGGCACGCAAAGGGTCCAATTGAAGCAGTGCTATAGGCCTGTAATCCCAGCTACTGGGAGACTGAGGCAGGAGGATCCCAAGTTCAGCCAGGCTGGGCATCTTAGAC